CTTATACGTTTTGCAGTATACACAACAGATGGCTCACAGAATCTATATAAGTTGACTAGCTACCTAATAGTTAATATCTTTTTAAATCTTCAAATATAGTACGCATCAAAACTAAACTATTCTTCATTAAAATTCAGAATAGCTAGCGGTAAGCTCTAAGAAATTTTGTTTCTGTGTTTGACTAACCACAAACCATATGATTTCATAACCACTTCGTTTAGAAAAAAACCCAGTTAGTCTACTATTAATGATTTCAATTTTAGGTATTTGATATAAATTTAGACAATTTAGTTAACGCTATCATTTCATAACGTCCTTAATAATTTGTGTCATTTCTGCTTCACCTCTGACTATTCATTTGTTCTGATTGATGATAACATTATTATTTCCATACATCATAATCCCTTGATAAATTTAAATCAAGTTAGAAGTATATGATTTGCAGAAGAAAGGCAGTTCACTGTATTTCATGGCAACTCTTCAACTTTGAATGGCCAAATTTGAAAAGCAATTCTATTAGTATAAACACTTTTACATATCTGAATCAATGAAGTTGGGTTCAAGACGACACAGCAAAAAAAACCCATAAGAAATAGGAGGATGAATCAACAGATTTACCATAATAACCAAGATTTATTAGGATTTATTTATTGAAAATGAGGTCGTTTAAAAGTGTGATGTAATGAATAGTACGAACAAAACAATTATTTTACAACTGAATGATAATCAGTTAACTTGGTTGATATCAGGTTAATGTTGTTGGTGAATATCACTGGTGATTTTAAAATTAAAGGCACAATAAAAACATTATGTATTCGACAAGGGTCTTACCAAGTCTATCACACTTTCTTAATGTACAGGTCAGGTCAAAAACGCTTGACAACAAATGCCTCTAGATGGAGTAAAAACGGCGTTCATTGATTGTTTATTAATTTAAACGTCTTCATGATATATACCTCACCTTCATTTTCCATAAAGACCTTATTAATAGCAGTCATAAACAATTTACTGTCTTTTAAGCACACCTTCTGAGGGAAATATCTGGAATACTTTGTAAATGCTTATTTTCAGTCCTTCCTATAAATTTGCTACAACAAGCACATATAAATTTATAAATACATTTTGAGGTAGCCTCAGAAGGATTTTTATCCACTTTGACTGATTCAAGGAAATTCGATCATGTATAATACATAACAGTAAGCTGAAGCGTAGCTTCTTATTATCATTGTTTTAACCCTTTAATTATTTTTGAAATATAATCTCCTTTGACCTACAAACAGATGAAGGCAAATGGTTTCTTAACAGTTGATTGTCTTGGCTTTTTAGTAGTTCAGAATAAATCACTTTCAACATTCTTTTTTTATAGACACTTTTTAATGTCAGAGATTTCTTTTTCCATTTCATTCACTGAACACAACTATATTTTTATTAGATTAGATGTTGATTAAACAGAATCTGCAACTAACACAATAAAAAACTATTGCACTATTTTCTCAGTCATGATTCTTTTGTAAATTGCTCCGTATTTCCTTTGTATTATGTTCAGGTACAAATAGTTGCATATTTTCCATCGTAAATTTATTGTCTTCATGTACTTTTTCAAGCTGATGAGTTAATCGTAAAACGTTATTCATTATTATTCCATATTAGTTCATATCAGCATTCAAAACGTTAACGACATTGTATACTATTAATCTTAAATTTATATTCTTTATTTTTATTACATGCATTTCCTTCAAATATGAATATTCCTTTTAAGTAGTACTTTTCATCATTCAGCGTAGAATATGATGGGAAGCTGTTGAACAGAGTATTTTTCTTTAATATATCTGTATTTTATTATTGCTGGAATTATTAAACAATCTAGTAATTACGTGTTAAAAACATAAAAGTTTACAATAATGAAATCTTTTGTTCAACCTTTTTCGACTGACTATGTTTTCAAATTTCATAAATGACAAACGTGAAAACTAATCTTGTATTATAAACGTATTGCCGTGATATAGCGTTAATTCACAAGCGTTATAAGCACAGATGCGTAATGGCTAGCAGTGGAATCCAGGACGCACGGTTCATTGTATTTTAGACTCGTCAGTTGTATATACCTGCAATCCTCACATGGTGCACATACGTCAATAAGAGACTGATCAATTGTAGTCCTAAACATCAATGGGAAGATTAAAAAACAAACACCACATTACACAAGAAAGTGGCTATCAGGATTCAGAAGTCGAGTGGATAATGTGATGGCGTTTGAAGCGAACGGTACTGAGTTCGACTCCCAGAGTGAACATCAACTCGGAATCAGGTACATCCAGGTGATGAGTCGCAAATTAGACGAACCTTGCGTCCTAGATTCCACTTTTGCTCACTATCCATCTTTGGTTATAAAGCGTGTGACTTAAGGCAGTCTCGAGTCAGTCCGCACAGGATTCATATATGCCAACAATAGACTGATCAATTGAAGTCCTAAACAACAATGGGAAGATACAATCAAACAATACTCAGTAATCTTGTATTAGTTCGTAATTGGTCATAGATAGTATTTTACTCCGCTTAACTGGATTTGATTTATCAAACACTGAGCCGGCATCCAGTGGTCATAATGTCTAAATTCAACCAATCCACGAAATTAAGCGACACATCCATCATTGTATTCAGTGAGCTACTATCTCACAACAGACCAGGTTGAACTCCACTGGTCACTACTTCTCACTAGAACGCCGGGATATACCTATTGAAGTCTGTCACTAGTGAGCATATGTTGCAAAATATCAGGTGTTTTTATGGATATTATAGTAATTTCAATAGTTGAGATCATGAGTCAGTTGGACCTAGACCACCATAGAAAACCCGAAAGCACTGGACGGCCGTTTAGTTTTATTGTGAGAATCCTCAGCAGTGCACATCCACGACCTCGTCCCTGCGAGATTCAAACACAGGACCTACTGGTTTTGAGCGCGAGCAATTTACCACTAGACCACTGAGCCGGCAGGCATACGAGTGAAATGATCACTGATTTGTTACTTTTTTGTCCAATTATATGTACATGAAGACGAAATTTTATATGATTACTTCCACTGAAATGACGTAACATTTTTTATGATCTGAGCATTCTGAACATGTACATCTTGACAATATATATTCACATTCATTCTTTCAACTGACCGAAATATGAACTACCTTATAAACGTTCTATATTCATCAAAAACCAAGCTACTTGGAAACCATACGACTTTATAAAGCCACTTTTCTAGATAACTTTAATTTTCAAATAACTTTAAAGTGGTTAATATATTCAATCCTACTAGTTTTAAAGTTGATTTTAGCATTTACTGACTAGCTAGATCATTTCCATTCATTGAAATCATGAATCAATATTAGTTAAACCACCGTTGAAAATCTGGAACAACAGGATAACATTTTGTTTCTAGCGTAGATTTCATCAAGAGTGAGCATCCACGACCTGGCAGCCATGAATCTAAACCCAAGACCTTCGATTTCGTGCACAAATGTTTAACCTGTAGACCACTGAGTCGGCATTCAAATATGTTCAAGTTTGAATTCAAACAATCCATTCTTGTTATATATGTGTCTAAGAATTTCATTATCTATAAGCTGTTCAGATAATTTTCTTACATTATAAGCATTTGTTAATCGAATTAAATAGGCTAGTACATGTCACCCATTTGTAAATTTTTGTTGTTAGTCAATATTCTTCAAATTATTTACGATAAAAACACCTAGTAACCTCATGGAACCTCCAACTAAATGACTAACAGATATTTAATGCATCGATATTTCGACTCCCGGGAGATAGCTCAGTGTTTGAAAGTTCACCATACATGTCTATACATAGATCATTATGACGTGTTTCAACAAAATCATATGTATTAAGTGGTATCATTCTTCTCCGGGTAACAAATCTTTCTAAAAACCTCTGAGTTATCTAATTTACCTAATTTTATTTGCCTCACACGTTCCTACTACTACTACTACTACTGTGGTGGGTGCTACTTATATTGATATAAGTAGTATATGAAGCGAGTTAAAGAACGTAGTGTCTGGCAGCAGATGGGGGAAGATTAAGAAAGGAAGAGCAGGAACGCAATGCAATTTGTAAAACTCATGAACAATGAAATGTGAGACAATGGATTGATGATTGCAACAGCAACAGTTCGGTTTGATATGATGGAATGACATTTTGCAAATTAACGATTTACTATTTGGTTTTTCTATTTTACCATGTGACTCCGTAATTTTGTGCTAAATACATTCGGTTGTCCCCACCCGGGTTCAGTTCACTACACTACTACTACTACTATTACTACTACTACTACTACTACTACTACTACTACTACTACTACTACTACTACTACTACTTATCAATGTTGTGACCAGGTTTTATCTATCTGCTTCATTTTTTTCATACTACATCACTAATTTATTGATTAAAACTAGTATTAAAAACTAGAATCACAGATAAAAATAGTGGAACATTTTGTTATAAATAGTTGAGCAATCTATCAGTGTGTGTTCAGTTATACACTATCACCACCAATAAACTTTAACTGTCAAAGATCTATTCACTATTTAATTAGCTCATACTAAACAGCACTATTAACCACCCCCACTAATCGTGTATATCAAAATATTTTTTGTGTAATCATTTTATCGTTCATAGCCAATCTATTGGTTGATTATTATAAATTACTAAATGGAAAAGAAACAAGTGATATAAATGCACTAAATACATCTTATACTAAAGCAATTGAAATGCAATAAGGGAACATATAGATTATCCAGTTATCTATTCAGTTGTCATACAATTAAACGGGTTTTTTTTTAATCAGTCCTATAGTGATACATATACAATAAATATTTAAATTAAAAGCGCTCATCAATTTTTACAAAGAAACAAGATAAAGTAAGTTTGTATACCATTCATTTAACTTGGTTTTTTTCTTAAATTTCTTTTATTTGACTACTTTTAATTAGAAATGAAAACGAAACGTTCCACTAGTAAAATACGTAATTCTGAACCAATAGACGATATACTACGTCATGTAGGAACTAAACAATATTTATTTTTGGAAACACATATTTGTACAATTTATCGAGTAACATGTGCACCTGGAGAAACATTTAGTGAATCAAAAGCATTATCATTAATAGAAAAATATCATCGTAAAAGACAAGCACATTGTAATGCTGGTTTATTGGAAGATCGATTTAGTTTGGAACGTACAAAAACTACTGGAAAAATACCATTTCGTCCATGGGTATCATATAAAGAAATTATGCATTTTTATGTAAGTCATTCTAAACCGGAATTCTTTGCATTATGTATTGATTCACAACGAAGTTTACAAAAATATTATGAAATATACAAATGTAAGAGTGCAGCAAATGTTAGAAAAGTTGAAGAATTAATGAGACGTGCAATGAATGATCCAGACAAAAAACTACATGATGTGAATGCACTAAGACAAGTAGCGGTGAAAGATAGTGACCGAATACGTTCCCTGCCGAATTTCGAAGAAGAAAATATACGTGATACTATGGTTGAAGATAGATCTCCCTCACCACCATATCAGTACCCATCACCACCACCAGTACGTCAGTTACCTTCTCCTGTGATGGTAGCCCCAGTAAGACAAGTCCCTGTGTACAATGCAGCATCACCTAGCCCAGTAATTAATTTTGAACGTTATAATGTTGATGATCTAGAAAATGTCACGTATATCAAACTGGATCCTAACAGAGGTCCAATGATAGATAAAGAAGGACCAATTTATATGTTTTTTTCAAGGCAGAAAAACAATCAAAGTGAACCAAATCTTTACAATAATTATGTTAATCATGATTCACCAACTTGGAACAGAAGAACTAAAAACTCTAATGTAATGTATTCACCATGATAAAACAAAGTCATACTCTAATGAATAGTATCCTAGATTTTAATTTCCATCATAAAGATTCACTAGTTTCTATACATGCACAACTAAGAGAATAATGATGAAATTAACTGAAGAAGTCCACTTCTTTGATTATAGTATACAATTAATTTTCAGCTTTATCTACTTGTGTCATACTATTGTAGCTTTATGCTTCCTTTATTTTAAAAGCAAAAAAATAAAAGACATAATGTTTTCGTTTCGATTATTTAGTACAATTTATTAGTCATACTCAGGTTAGTAAAATTGTTGCTGCTCAAATTCTGTGTTTAGTTTCTCATTTTTCTTTCTTTTCAAAAATCTTTTCGTTATGAATATATCATTATGAAATATTGTTTCACTACGGAAGTTGATCAACATATTTCGTTATGTTTTTGTCCATTTCTACAAAAAAAATTACGTCAGATATGTGTGTGTGTGATTTAGTTGCTACAGTGATTAGTAAATAATTTAGTCATCCTTACATTCATAAGTTCATGCCTAAACAATTACCGATATATATATATATATATATATATATATATATATATATATATATATATATATATATTGCTTTTTATATATGGATACATATTTCATAAAGATTAGCCATTTATTATTAATTTCATTTTATTATTACCAAAGGATGTATGGATAATATTGTTTATTATACTCACAGTAATACGTAAATATATGTTTCCATGTTATATTTGTTTTTACTTTATAAGAACTGGGGGTTCGTTGAGTACAATCCTAAATAAACTTTATGTATCTATTCACTTCCTTTTTTTTGCTGTTTACAAAAGTCAAGAGTTATTTCACTTTGAAGTATGGATAAAATAATCTTGTCATGATTTAGTTGTTCCATTTTCTTTATTTCTTTTAACAGAATGTATGAAATCAGTTAATAATATTATTATTAATATTATCATTATTCAATAAAATTTCTTACATGGGTTCTTTCAAATGTGAAATTCCATGAATGTCAAGTTTTCACTTTTTTTCTCCCGGGTTTAAAATGTTTTAAACGTGTTTGTGAGAAATTAACTTTTAATCTTAATCTACTATTGAATACCAAGGTATATTCCTTATTTTTCATGGAAACATGTTGATGTGAAATGATAATTGTCTATATTAGTGATCCTTTCAGTGGAATATCATTAATACCTTTAATATCATTGTATTCATTCAAACTAAGTAAGTTTATTCATACATTTGAAGAAATCACTAAGTTACTGATTTTGATTAGTCTTGTTCTAATCTTATCTCTAAGTGGATACGTTACGTAATAATTACATAATGACATTTAAATTAACATTGATTAATTTGATTAATTTAAATGTCATTATGTAATTATTACGTAACGTATCCACTCGATGAGTATTATATTATTATTGTAAAACGTATATATATTAGTGTAGAGCCATGATGAAAAACTAATTGAAAAGAAATTTCTTCGCTCAATTTGTTCCTTCTTTATTTACCAAATGGCAAAATGGGAATTTTCATTATCTCTAAGTATTTGAATAATATTTATAGTAATGTTTAACAGTATCTATCACTATAACATTTATGATATAGATAAGATTCGATGATAAGATATAAACTAGAATTCTTCTTTATATGCAAACATGGATAGTATTTAGCAGTGAAGTGCAAGACGCTCGTTTTATCCTATTTGGGACTCGTCATCTTTTCATATAATGCTTGTGCATTAAGGCTACATCGAGGCAATACACATATTATTTACATACGCCAATAAGAGACCGACCAATTACAGTTCTAAACATCAATGGGAAGATTCAAACAAACAATACCAAGTGAATTTAGAATTCTTTCTGTTATGCTGTTTTCATTATTTTTTTAGTTTATTTGTTTGCGAAGAGATATATACTAAGTTTGAAACTTTTACAATACTAATTATGTCTTCGTTTCTGTGAACTTTGCGTTATAATTCAGGGACTCATTGAGTACCTTTAATGCAATGGGTTGATCACAAGATTTAAATCACTGAAAAATTCCCATAATTTTTTCAGCGATTAAAAACTTTTACAACATCTATTGTATCTAAAACAATGAATTTCAGGTCAGAGAACTGATAAACCACTTTGAAGTAGATTATTGATCAAAGTCCTTATGAAGTATATTAAGATTAATAGATACGTCCATTGGTTTAAATATTGTTTCAAGGAACAAAAAGTTATGTGTTGAGGGAAAAGTGAAAAAATTTAATCTAAAAGGTTACAAAACCTGTGAAATCGAATAGTTCAATGATTAGTTATTGACTTCACTGTTATTAAAAGTAAGAGTGAGAAACATAGACATCCGAATTCCTGGAAGTTTGAATTTGTGGTAAAATTCTTGTTGATTATTTCCTAGAAACCTATCATTTCTATGCATCTGTTCAGTAGGTTTTAGTAATATCTTTATTACAACGCAGATGAATAAGTAACAATATTCATATCCCCGGAAAATAAATTCTCACCATGATCTGTATGTTCTTTTTTTAAAAGTAGCTTTGGAAACTGAATAAACAAGTTAACTGGAGAAGTAGTTGCCTGTTAAATAGTGGATGAAACTGTTTTTAAACGCAATCGGTAGATTTCCTCAAATTCATCTCAAAGTAAAAACCATCTGCAGTTAACGCCGAACTAAACGGTTCTGAATCTCAAAAAACTTAATTGGAGAGCTAATGACTTGTATAACTAATTAAGACCTCTAATATCTAATCTGATGCTATCAGCGTTAAGGGACTAAACTAAAATGAATAATGTCATAACATATGCGATACATTATATACAAATTAATCTCATTAAATACCTAAGTAAAACAATAATATTACTGGGTTTTATGTTTACATGGATCTTTTCCAATTACTTGCTATCCATAACGATCAGATATAAACTATAAAAATGTATTTAGTTTTACCAGATTTACATGGTTGTTTTGGGTACAGTAAGTGATACGATAAGTAAATTATACTCGCGACCTTTATTCGAACATTATTTGTAATAAACGATAGAATAGTTTATTGCCTAGAACGAAATGAGTTAAAGTTCCCATGTTAAGTAAAGGATGACTTAAATTTTGTATTGAAAAGTGTTTTTTTTTAAGGTAAAAAATGACTTTCAAGATGACGGAATTTTGATAGCGAAAAACATTCATATCAACAATTTATTGAAAAGAGTTCACCTAAGAAGAGTGTTTCTGAAGTGGATTACGCAATCAGATATAGTGATATTAAGTCATTCAAGATTAACATTAATATCATGCTGACAGCTAAAATACACTTCAGACATTTCAGTAAATGTAAACTCACCTGTTTATTAATTATAGTAAATGATTCTGAGAAATTACCATTAATTCCTCTCGCATACTATTGAAATTTAAACTGGACAGTAAAATACATCTGACTCAATAAGTTTAAACTATGATGTAATGTTTTGAAGTAAATTTATGTCAGTTATATAGTACCGGAATATACAAATTCGGTAATAAATCTAAAAGACTACAAACTATAATGATTTTCTCAACTGTGAATGGGTTAGAGCAACGAAAATGGAATTTAAAAACGATAGTAAAATAAGATATCCTGTCAAATAGGATTAAAGATCTCAAACTAGAATATTTCATTTCGGATAGCATACATACAAAATTCTTTCATTTATTAATCCATGGTAAATCCGTCTGTAGCTTCAGATCACCACCTAGTTGTAACCAATTTAAAATTGAAGCTAAAGAAGAACTAGACAACTGGACAAACAGCAACTCAAAGGTTCAATACAGCCTTCCTTCGACATACTGACAAACTCAGTGAATTCAAGATAGCTCTCAACAACGGGTTCCAAGCCTTACAAGATCTACTGAAGGAAGAAGAAACTACTATGGAGGACAACTGGAAGGGTATCAAAGAACCGTTAACTTCAACGTGTCAAGAGGTTCTGGGCCTCAAGAAGCATCATCATAAAGAATGGATCTCCATGAAAACATTGGACAAGATCAAAGAAAGGAAGAACAAGAAGGCAGCAATTAACAACAGCCGAACACGAGCAGAGAAAATCCAAGCACAAGCTGAATACATAGAAGCAAACAAGCAAGTGAAGAAAAGCATTAGAGCCGACAAGAAGAAATACATGGAAGAATTAGCAACGACGGTGGAAAAAGCTGCAAGGGAAGGAAATATGTAACAACTTTACAATACAACGAAGAAGCTAGCACGGAAATACAGTAGACCAGAGAGACCGGTCAAAAACAAAGAAGGCAGAACAATCACTAAAATTCAACAACAGCGGAACAGATGGGTAGAGTACTTCGAGAAACTCCTGAGTAGGCCGGCTCCAACGAATCCACCGGACATCGAGGCAGCACACACAGATCTTCCTGTAGATGTCAATCCATCAACGACGGAAGAAATCAGAATGGCTGGTCATCAAACAAATCAAGAGCGGGAAAGCAGCAGGACCTGACAACACACCAGCTGAAGCACTGAAGTCAGACATCGAAGTAACTACAAACATACTCCACCTTCTATTGAGAAATATTTGGGAGGAGGAACAAGTGCCGATGTACTGGAAAGAAGAGCACCTCGTCAAGATTCCAAAGAAAGGAGATCTGAGCAAATGTGAAAACTACAGAGGCATTACACTACTGTCAGTACCAGGGAAAGCATTTAACAGAGTGTTGCTGAACCGGATGACACTACGGATCATCATCGAACAATCAGTTGAGTGGAACTCACCACTGTACATCAACTTCATTGATTATGAAAAGGCATTAGACATTGTAGATAGAAGAACATTATGGAAACTTCTTCGACACTACGGAGTTTCTGAGAAGATTGTTAACATTATCCGGAACTCATATAACGGACTACAGTGCAAGGTCGTGCATGGAGGACAGATGATAGACGCATTCCAAGTAAGGACCGGAAACAGACAAGGCTGTCTACTCTCTCCCTTCCTCTTTCTTCTGGTGGTTGACTGGAT